AAAAAAAAAAAAAAAAAAAAAAAGTGTGTCTAATCCGAGTCTCTCCTCTTTTAGTTTAAAACAGTCACCCCTTGTCCTGTTGCTACAGACCCTGATAAAGCCCCCGTCAAGTATTGAAAGGTGCAGTAAGGTCTCCCTGGAGCCTTCTCTTTTCCAGGCTGAACAAACCAAACTCTTTCAACCTTTCCTTGTAGGAGAGATGTTCCATCCTTCTGATCATCGTCGTGGCCCTCCTCTGGACCAGCTCCAACAGGTCTATGTCTGTCATGTGCTGAGGGCTCCAGACCTGGATGCAGTACTGCAGGTGGGGTCTCACCAGAGCAGAGTTACTTCCCTTGACCACACTTCTTTTGATGCAGCCCAGAATATGGGCTGGCTCATGTCCAGCTTTTAATTCACCAGTACCTGCAAGTCCTTCTCCACAAAGCTATTGTCATTACCTTCATTCCTCAGCCTGTATTGATGCCAGAGGCTGCCCTAACCCAGCTGCAGGATCTTGCACTTGATCTTGTTGAACCTCATGAGGTTCACATCACCCAAACTTGTCCAGGTCCCTCTGAATGACATCCTTTCCCTCAGCTTTATCAGCTGTACCACACAGCTTGGTGTCATCTACAAAGCATCTTGCTGTGAGGGTGCACTCGATCCCAGTGTCTTTGTCATTGATGAAGATATTAAAACAGTCCTGGTCCCAATACGGACCCCTGGGGGACACCACTCAAAACTGATCTCCGTCTGGACATTGAGCTGTTGACCAGTACCCTCTGGATGCGACCATCCAACCTATTCCTCATCCACTGAACAGTCCATCCATCAAATCCATATCTCTCCGATTTAGAGAGAAGGATGTTGTGGAGGACCATGTCAAAGGCCCTAAAGAGGTCCAGATAGATGACAGCTTCCCTTGTCTGCTGATGTAGTCACTCCATCATAGAAGGCCACTAGGTTGGTCAGGCAGGACTTGCCCTTGATGAAGCTGTGCTGGCTGTCTCACATCACCTCCCTGTCCTCCATGTGCCTCAGTGTAGCTTCTAGGAGGGTCTGTTCCATGATCTTCCCAGGCACAGAGGTGAGGCTGACAGGACAGCAGCTCCCAGGGTCCTCCTTTTTAAAAATAGGTGCAGTGTTTCCCTTTCCCAGTCGCTGGGGACTTCCCCTGACTGCCGTGATTTTTCCAATATCATGGAGAGTGGCTTGTGGTCCGTCCACTCGAAAGATGTGGGAAGAGAGATTAAATAATAATGGAAAAACTAATGTCTTTAATTCTACCTTACCTCTGAAATATTTATGGTTGAGTATCGATGTTCTTTTACAAGTGTAATGATTTATTCTTTCATAATCCTGTAGCAGTGAGAAAGACAAGGTCAGATTTATTTGATATATTAACATTAATGGATTGCTGAACATGGGTGGACATGTCTAATTCCCTTAAATCCTTGTGTGTCAATTGGAGTTTCACTTCTGTCTTGGTCTTCTCTGAGATCTTTACCATGGTAACTCTTACGACTTGGAAGTAAGGATGAGAAGCATTCTCAGTCTAGGTGATACGTGCTTTTCAGCTCAAAATTCTTTTAGTTTTCTCCTTGCCCTTTTTCTTCTGGATCATGAGGGAGGGGAAAAAAAAAAAAGAGTTAATTTCTAAATTTTTAAAGTTGTTCCTGCTTGTTCTAAGCAATACAGCAGCTGGGAGAAATGTGGTGATGTTTCCTACTGAATGATAATAAACCTTAATGCTGGGTGTTAGAGAAAAGGGAATATGAAGCAGAGCTGATTATTGCTGTTGTATACCATGTACTTTCTACGTGTCTGTTTCTGTTCTCTCACCGAATACAGGCTCAGGTATAAGAGTTCAAGAACGAGCCTCAACAATCAGGCAGGTGCTGGAAAACTACTTCTACAAAATAGTATCTAAAAAGATGTGTTTATTTGGCCTAATAACTGTCCTTAAAAGTTCATCAAGGCAGCATCTCTTGTGTTACAGGCTGTATGCCAGAACTCCCCGCTGGTACACGGCCAAATGCCAAAAGGTGTGGGGTGCTGTGAGGCCAAGGAGTGTTGTGGCGTGAGCCCTGTCCTCAGAAGAGTGGCCCACAGCAGGGTGCTGTGCGGGGCCGCCGCGCTCTCTGTTTTAGGGTTTCAGTCGATGGGCAGACTGACCTGCGAGCTGGCTGGGCCTGGTACGTGGTGTTGCAGGGCCAGGGAGGTTGTGGTGTTCCATTGCTTAAATATATTGCGCTTTTCAGATCTTTTTATTTGGCCTGACAAAGGAAGGAAAAGGCTTTACCTGATCCCTGTATATAGACACTTGCCCATGAGAAGGATCTCTGTAATGAGAAATCTTGCCAGCTTTTTACAGAGACATAAGATCTAATCACTGAAACTTGAAATCAGACATTTTGGTCTGTGAAGTAGATACAGTTTCCTAGCAGAAAGGATAAATAAACATTGGAAAAGTTTACCTGTGAGAGAGATGGATCATCAGTGTTTGGAGTACTAGGATCGAAGGGTTTTATTCATTTAAAAGATACACTGTAATCTGCCATCTGGAAAGAATTCCACAGCCTGTGGCAAAGAGGAGGAGGAGAGGAGAAAGGAAGATGTCGTGTTTGTGGTGGATTTTGATAAAGACCAACCAAAGTTCTGGTCCAGTTTCTTTTATTAATGTTTGAACTTTGGGGGATGGGATGACATGCTTTGCCGAGGTGTGCTGTTAAGATTGCACTTCAGCATTAAGACAGAGATTGTAATTGAGGTGTAAGTATCCAGCCTTTGGTTAAGAGTCAGAGAGGATTCTAACGACTGGCTGGGTATGTTCTACACATTTACTCTCTGCTCACACCTGTGTGCCCATGACTAGAAGCCTGAGGATGGATGAGCGCTCTGAAACAGAAGAGAACTGCCTGGCTGGTACTCTGCTCATACATTCACAGTTGTACTGCTGACCTTCTGCAGAGCTAGGAAGAAAAACCAGGGTGAATACCCCTGAGGAGTCTGTGGGTGGAGTTACACGTCCTCTGTGGCACATCATGGTTCTGCCGCAGGGAACACAGCGATACCTCTCAGGCAGTTTCTCACCATTGCAGCAGTTGTGGCCTCTCTGGACTGAGTTGTGTGTGCACGTGTGTGTCTGTGTGTTCTCTCCTCTGGCCTTGCTTATATCTGACAGGTCTTATGTTCAGACTTTCTGTCCTGCCAAGCAAGCAGGAAATGAGAGGACAAGGCTTTGGGACACGTCTCATTCACTGGTGTCTTGGAGAGGCTGTGGCGCAGCATTTCAACCAGGGTTTTGCTCAGAGAGACCCTGGCAGGCAGAACTCTGCATGTGCGAGGCTGTGTGTGGAAAGCCCCCAGAAAGGGAAGTGTGGTTTGGTTTAGTACCTGTGCCCCTGGTACACAAGAGGCAGGGGTATCAGCTGGCTCAGCTTTGAAATTTATGGCATTTTGAGGGTGAAGGGCTAATTAAAAAAGAAAAAAATAAATTCGCAGCTTTGTGGTAGCTACTGTTTTTGGTTTTTTTTTTCTCTAGTGTACCTTTATATTTTATAGCTGCTTTTTCATTCTTTGTGTGATGACTTCTGTGTAGTTGGAGCTCTGAGCAAGTCAGATTTTTTCCTGTTTACATTTCTGTTGGACTAAAGTTACACAGCCCTGTTTCACTTGCATCCACCCTAAGATTGTTTGGTGGGTCAGGGTGAGCTGAGGGGTACTTGAAATACTGGTTTGTTTAATTTTAATAATATGTTAAGACTTGGTCATGGACAAAGTTTCCATTAAAAATTAATTGAATCAAAGCTGAATTGAGTATCTCAAGTTGTCTTCATCTGTCATGTTTTTACTTAAGGCAGAGTTTAATGTCCTTAATACTTTGTGTTATTCATGACTTCACACTCAGGTTGGCCCTTGTTCTCTGCGTAGTGTGTGGGTTCTGTCCTTAGGGCCTTGTTTTCCTTGGTGCTCTTAGTGAATGTTTTGTTCAACTGTCCTTCAGGTTCAGGCACTTTTAGTTTCATTTGTGTTAAGCAGTTAACTGAGAAAATAATTACATGGAAAAAGCATTTAGTGCAGATAATATGTGCTTGTTTTACAGGTACACCTGGTATTAAAGTTCTCATGCCTGCACTTTCTCCTACAATGGAAGAAGGAAACATTGTGAAATGGTTAAAAAAGGAAGGTAAGACAGTGTTTTCTATGGCCGTGTTTGTTGTACTTCTTCAGCTATATAAATCTGTTCCGTAAGAATAGGATCATTCTTTCAGGTTGTTCCTTAGTGCTTTGAAGCAAAATGTTTGGTATATGTTGAACAATACTTGCTTTGTAATTGCTGATTCTTGAAACATTTTTCCTTTAGTTGTCTTCCAAAGGGTTACATTAATTATATTTTTGAAAAAAATTGTTTTTAATTCGCAGTGTTGTCATGCTGATCAGTAACTTTGGAAGTCTGAGTGCCTTTGGCTTTGGAGAGGGTCTCTGTTTCATTGTTTTGCTGTGTTACAAAAATAACATGAACAACACAGTATTTTTGTAGTTGCTCTTCAGCGCTTACTTTTTTAATATCTAAATGATAGTCTGCAATTAAAAATGATAGAAAATTTTTTTTAAAAAGTTCCACACCTATTTTAATTAAGTTAAATTAAAATCTTAATTGATGGTTGGACTTTGAGAGAAAACTATTTTAGGATTTTTATTGCTGTACTTTCTATTTAGAAATGAGACCAAAACTGAATATAGTTTATTGGCACATCTGTGACCATAATTAGTTCCTGTGGATATTTTTCTTCTGACAGTCTGGAAAATAAACATAATGACAGCATTAAAAAAGTGAAGATG